CCTTTAAATATAGTTTTAATATAATAAGCAATTTTATCATCTCTACTACTACTCCTTAGTACAATTTAACATCAGGTATGGCTTGAATGACAGATTCGTAGTCGCTACTGGCGTACGATAGATCCGACTTCAACGTGTCCGATCTTTCCATGCTTAGAACTACATTCATTGTTTATCGCAGTCCAGTTCTTTATTTTCTTCGTATGTTATAAGTTACAGCTTCATCAACCGACAGCTAGTCTTAATCACGACCCAAGGAGAAAAGGAGCTATATGTTGGATGAAGGATCCAGCTTCAGAATCCGGTGAGGTGGGTCGATTAATGAGGTGAAGGAGGCTTGGATTGATAGAGAGTGTGAGCTTCCTGCCTAAATACACCTTGATGACTCAGCTAGGTCCAACACCGGCTTCGAGAGTCCGGAGATCAGTACTCAGAGAACTGGAACTCGCGTCGTGCAATCAAGCTCGCCTCCTGTATCTAGGTTACTAGATCGCTGCTACTTTGGTGTGGCCGAATTCTGCGTTGGTGTAGCCATCATTCTCCGCTTTGGTCGTCATGCTCTTTAATCTTCTGCCGATACTCTTCCCTCAAACTATCAAGCCGGCTTTTCAGACTGCCTGTGATTACCGACTTGTACTCGATATGCGGCATAGGTATATCTCCCAAATCTTCGACTTCACGACCCTCCTCTATTCGTTCCTGTGTCAATATGCGGTTGAAGTGACGCCTATTCTCGAGAGAGCTTTCCAATTCAGCTGGGGAGATCAAGTCCATAGCCAAAGGTGTTTCCATTGTCTCATGAAACTGGGGTGGCTCTTGGGAGAGGGCCTCATAGTTCTGGATCGTCTTGGTAACATCGATAGCCTCGATAAATAGGATGTCTCCCTGATCATCCTCCTCCCGGTCAAAATGGCCTACCACAACGGTGAGCTTTTGAATACTGCCAAAAAAGCTCAGGATTTGAGCCAGTTGATAAACGCGAGCTGAAACGTCTTCTGGATTCAAGAGAACAGCGAGGTTCTGAACCTGGCGCACGTGGTCGGTATCATAGATACGCTCCAGTCTCTGGATGAAAAATTCGAATACATCCGCGCAGTCGTCTGCGAATGCATCGAAGCGAAGATAGCAGGTGTCGGTGCGGAAGTCGAAGTATGTTTCGGGGATCGAGCTCGCAAAAGCAAAACATGGGACAAAGAACTTCAAAGCAACATGGTGCGATTCTCTGCAGGCAAATAGAGGAGATGGAGCCTTGCTTGGTGACCATAATGCCCACGTAGGTTGTCCGTTCCTCTCCACCAGCCTTTCTTTGATATTGACGACTCTTGGACCGGGCCGTGCAGCTTCCCAAATCTTCAGCCTTAGTTCAGTTGGCAATCGATTGAATAGTGTAAACATAGGATTGTCCAGAGGCATTTTCGTTGGGCCGTTCTGCTTGCAGTTGTTCAAACTCATTGTAGGACAGGTGTGGGCGGAAGAGGTGTGTGTTGTGTAGCACAATGGGAGCAGAAAGAGAAGCGAGTAATTGCGGATTCGTCACGGAGTTAAGTTCACTGCGCGAATGAGGTCCAGATAGTATTGATATTGATGGACAGAAGACAACGAGTTCAATTCAAAAGCTGTGGTTGTGGGCACGTATCCCTTCATCTGCCACCTTTTGGTGCGGCCGCTAGCTTTTGCTGAGCGAGCCAGGCCAATCAGAAGTCCGTGCTTTGAGAGAGAGTGTTTCGCTGACGATGAGAGAAGGCCGTAATGCTCAGATGGTAACCATACATAGCCGACATCTTCGCACCAAGATCGTACTGGTTCGCACCTTACCCTGCTAGTTTTGATAATAATAGCAATACAATATGATCAGATATTGGGGATCCATAAACATTTCACTACATGGGGGTTCTACTGATTACACGTGTTATTTCGACGAGGTTCACTATTGCTCATGAAGAAAGAAGTCGGCTAATTATAAGATATGAAGGATTTCTCAAGCATTTCTTTCTCCCATGTAACGGTCAAATCAGCACGTTCGCACCGAGACAATAGAACGACAAATCATGATATTAGAGCGGGGAGAAACTTAGAAAACTACGACATCATTTTTAAGAACCACCAAAGCAGAGAGTCCGTATCCCTCAGTACAAGGAAGAGTATTCAGCCTTTATGATATCTGCACCTTTCTCAGCAACCATATACACGGCATTTTGGATTCGGCAGTCGGGAATGATCGGGAAGACTGAAGCATCGATAACACGCAGGTTCTTTATGCCATGTACCTTTAATTGGCTGTCGACCACACCTTGTTCGATGTTCTTTGAAAGACGAGCAGTTCCGCACGGGTCTGAAAGAGGTCAGTGACTGTCACAAGAAAGAGAAACTGAACGTACGGAACCCGGTCTGGCTTCGTTCCAACACAAGCTTGTCCATTGCCGCATCAGAATTTCGTGGCATCGGCCAAGGATAATCGCTTCCAATGATATCCTTCATTCCTTCGCCGTTCATCAAAATATCATCAACGAATCGAACACCTTCGCGCAAAGCCATAACATCGAGATCGTCGGCAAGGAAGTTCAAGTTGATGTTGGGCTGGTCAAGACAGTTTGCAGAGTTTAATTTGACCTGCCCAGGAGGCGAAACTGGGCGAAGGAGATCAACAATGATTGTGAACCATGACCCAGTTGGCGGGGTTGGAAAGTGCCATTGGAAAGCATCGCAGAACATGGGCTAGGGTAGAGTTAGACTGTGCGACCAAATGAAGGGGAGACATACCACAAAGTCAATTTCAAAATGAGGCTGTCCACCAGGACCGAATGGGTCAAGTCCACCGTTCTTCGCCTTGGCTGCAACATATTCCTTACTCTTCATCAAGCGCTCATCGATACGGGGAAATCCAACAAGTTCGAGAAGGCCACTGCTCAGCGGGCCAGTTCTATCCTTCTGGTATACAGAGATCGCACCTGCCTTGGCAGGACCACTCCTCAAGAGGTGGTTGTCCAAACCCAAATCGTTCTTGAGCATGAAGACGTGGGGTACGATGGGATGATCCAGCAGATTCTTTCCGACATGTGAAGACTTCAACACAGGTGTGATACCGTGTTCGCTGAGAACTTCTTCTGGGCCGATGCCAGAAAGTAACAGAAGTTTTGGCGATTCAAACACACCAGAGGAAACAATGACCTCTTTGTCAGCGTAAAAGGTCAATTCCTTTCCATCGGGTCCAATGACTTCCACGCCAGTCACTGTGGTCCCGTCAAGTACCAACTTCTTGGAGTGTGTCGAGGACAAAATTGTGATGTTAGGCTTGCCTTCAACGAAGACATAGCTCGACGATCGGAACCCTTTGTGGATGGAGCTGATGCACTTTACCAGACCAGCCATCTTTCCAGAGTAGATATCATCAGTCAACTTCTCTCCTTTACTGACCCAAGCCTTTGTCAATGCGTCACGGAATGGAGCCATCTCAGGAACCAGCTCGGCGTGGGACACTGGGAGAATTCCTTGCTCGCTTCCAACTTTCTTGAGCTCCGCTGGATAGAGATTTTCATCGTCGAAGTACTTGGCAGGCTGGGGAAGTCGTTAGTTTTCATTTGAGCCTCGAACGCTCTACACACCTTCTTGAGATACGGCTCGCACTTTGCCCAATTCCAATCAGAGCCACCAAAAGCTTCCCAGTCATCAAATGTTGCAGCACTGCCAGGAACCCAAGTGTAATAATTCAAGCAGCTACTCCCACCAAGAACTCTGCCTCTTGTGTTTGGTTTCTCGACTCGAGTATAATCAGGTCTATCAATCATGGTGGTCTTATAAGCCCAGTCATAGTTGCTGTCACGAAGTTCGAATGCTCGTGCTGGGGTTGTGATCTCGGGGATCTCGCGTGGGTTGCTATTCTCGTTAGCTGATATTTGGGATCAAGGGCAGGGGCATTTACCCAGGACCGGCTTCAATGACCAGGACAGTTACTTTTGGGTTTTCTGCCAGGCGTCCAGCGACCACATTACCGGCAGTACCACCTAGGAATGTCAGCTGAGTTACATTTGAGCTGTAGGAAGGCATAGGTCTCACCTCCAACGACAATGAAGTCGAACTTGCTTGTAGTTGGAATCGTCATGTTTATGATATTCGAATATTTTCTTGCTCAAAGTCACAAATGTCGGACCTTGTGCGAGGGGGAAAGTCTGTGGTCTGATTCGCTTGTTGTTGATGATGTTGATGAAATGTCCGAACTTGAGAGTTCTCCTCCAGCTATATAAGTAGTTTTCTGTGGTCACATAGACTGGAAGTGACGTTTGTTGGTCCCTCCATGCCGATGTTTCTTCACAGCAAGCTTCGTGGTTGTACGCAGCTGGCTCCTTGCCTGCCCCTCTTTCATGCAAATGAAGCTGAGTAATTGCATAAAGAGGGGAGTTGGTCAACATTGCCGAGATTTCATCCTGGTGTGTAGGACAAAGTTCGCGATATGTTTAACAGCCATGTCTCAATCAGATCGTTTTGATAAGGAGGCGCAACTGATCCGGAGCTGGACAACTCTGTTGATTGGTTAGACTCGAATGCCCTGCCGGTGCAACATCAAGGTTCTCACAGGCTCAACTTCACTGCTTCGTCGTCCAGCCTTATGCAAGATCCCGGAACTACTTCCGGATTCCATCGAGTCGGCGAATTCAAGGACATCGGTAAGAAAACGTGACTTTCCGGTCAATGCCCGAGCCGAACAATCATCTTGACCTACAATTTCCGAACCACCGACAACCATCCGCTCAGCCTCAGAATCCAGTATTCTCATCTCATCTGATGTCACCAAAGCTCAGACATCGTGAGAAAACTCGGCAAGCTCGCAAAGCAGTTTGTTTTCGGTATCATGCTGCTTTCCGATCCCATCTTCACTTTCAGCTCAGGCTCCACCCAAGTCTCTTTGTCAGCTTTGTCTCCTCGTTTCTGCGCTATGTAGTGTAATCGCATGTACACTGTCTCTTTGGATGGTTTCATGACCTTGGCATCTTCTTTCCAGCGAATATAATTAATTTGCGGCAGGAGCAAGGTTGAAAACCCGGGAGTTCGTGTTGCATTGCGCTCTTTGTCAGCACCGCACCGCTGCGGATTTATTTCCTCTCTCAAATGAACAGCTGTCACTGTCATTGGGCGCCGAGTATAAGTTGGAGCTTCAAAGACTACGCAACCTGGAAGCTTTAGGGATACTTTGGGAAATTTTCCTCTTCACCTCATCCAATCCATATGTATTGACAGGTAGCGTGTTAGCCAAGGGCCCATGCCTGCAGTTGTCATTTCCGTTATCATCTAATTCACTGCTGTTGCCATAGACATTTTGCATTGAATTCCCGTTCTGAATACTTCTTTGGGAGACTCTACTGCATGGAAGTAGGCACTGTCAGCTTCCAGTTGCATACGGAGTTACGACCGATAAGGACAGAATGTTCACTTGCTCCCTTGTCAAGCACAGGACTTTGTCAGCGGCTGCACTTACCAATACTAAACTGGAGCCCCAGTGAAGATATGCTTTCGTGAGGATAATTTACCTTACTAAGTGGCAATCTCGGTATCTCTGGCTCCAATTTGTCCGAAAGTGTACCGGCTTCCAAGCATTGTTGAAATGTACTATCGATCATTGGACAAACAGAATGGATACTCTAATCAGGAAGAGTGTATAAATATAATACAAGATGGCTGAAAGTATCCCGAGCTTGGTACCATGTTCAATAAACTCTCCTTCAACTCTGACATCCTCTTCCAGATGGCCTCTCAAGTGAGTTTCCTCGGCCTGGTTGAAATTGAGACTGACATCTGTAGCTACACAACTCAGCGACGCCGGCCTATACACTCGCAGAAGGTACTGGAGAAAAACGTTAACGCATTGCTCCACTAACACCATTCAAGGATGCCCGCAAAAAGATCCTGCGTCTTCATTCAGTATCAATAAACCCGGTGGAGGTAGCTTGTTGTTGCTTCAAGATACTCAACTCATCGAAAAACTTGCGCACTTTGCTCGAGAACGCATACCTGAGAGGTCCGAACTGGACCCAAACCCCAAGAGACTGGCTGACAGTTTATAGAGTCGTTCATGCAAGTGCTGCTGGAGCGTTCGGCGAGTTCGAAGTCACACACGATATAACCGATCTCACTTCTGCCGCTTTCTTGTCGGAAGTTGGCAAGAAGACTCCCTTCCTAGTGAGAATATCGACTGTTGGTCCAGAAAGAGGGTCAGCCGATACTGTAAGAGATGTTCGTGGATGGGCGATGAAGTTGAAAACAGATGAAGGAAATCAAGACTGGGTCTTCAATGACATCGTAAGTTTGTTACAGGTAGAAGTGGAGCATGGCTTACGCATATAGCCTGTATTTTTCGTTAGAGATCCGATCAAGTTTCCATCAGTGAACAGATCGCACAAGCGTCATCCGCGAACGCATCTTCCGGATTCAACTATGGTAAGCTGCCCTACCACACCAGTGGGAATGATGCTAACGTGAAACAGTTCTGGGAGTGAGTTTTTGTGATCTGGCCTTTGTTTGATACTAATAGGAATCTAGCTTTCACAATAACAACCAAGAGAGCATTCATGCTTTGATGTGCCTGTTCAGTGACCGAGGAACCCCAGCTTCGCTTCGGAACATTGACGCATTCGGTGGCCATACATACAAGTTTACCAAGACGGTGAGACTTCCACTATTCCTTATATTCACAAGCTAATTCCTCAGGATGGCACATTCCACTACGTGAAGATCCACTTCAAGACAAATCATGGAATCAAGAACTTCACAGATGCAGAAGCCACAAGGATTGCAGGAGAGAACCCAAACCACAATGTTCAGGATCTTTTCGAGAACATTGAGAAGGGAGACTTCCCCAGCTGGACTGCATATCTTCAAGACATGACGCCTGAGCAGGCCGAGAGCTACAAGTGGAATATTTTCGACATGACCAAAGTCTGGCCGCACAAGGACTTTCCCTTGAGACCATTCGGAAAAATTGTGTTCAATAAGAATGTAAGATCTTACGACCTCGAACTCTGCTTGTCACTGTATACACTAACTGGCATCAAGCCTCAAAATTATTTTGCAGATATCGAACAAGCTTCATTCTCCCCCTCCACCATGGTACCAGGGATTGAACCGTCTGCCGATCCAAGTGAGTCGTATGCCTGCTCCATTCGTGATAACATGCTCATCCATTCATAGTGCTTCAAGCGAGAATGTTCAGCTACCCGGACGCTGCTCGATACCGACTTGGTGTCAACTATCAACAACTTCCAACAAACTGCCCAGTCAGCCCAGTATATTCTCCCATGCAGAGAGATGGAGCTGCAAATTTTCGAGGCAATTATGGACCGGATCCAAACTATGTGAGGTCCAGCCTACGATCAATGACGTACGCAGCAGGCAATGTCAGCCATGATGAATGGGCAGGAAAGGCCGCATCGTACTCATCAGAGGTAACTGACGATGACTTTGTACAAGCAACGGCTCTGTGGGCTGTTCTCGGTACACAGCCAGGGCAGCAAGAGAACTTTGTTTCGAATGTGGCCGGGCACTTGAAGTCTGCTATTCCTCAAGTACAAGAGAAGACTATAGGTACGCAGTAGTGATCATTGATTAGATGTTCATGCTAACACTATTAGAAATGTTCTCACGAGTTGATGAGGGCTTGGGGAAATTGATTGCAAAGGCTTTGTAAAAGACTGAGATTTATCAGCACGCAAGAGATATTTGAGACATAGTATGCTTTTTAATGGACTTCACATGAGCACTCCCATGCCCACAACGTTGCCATTACCACCAAAGTGACAGCAAGTGCTATCTGGGCCTGTTCAGATGAGATTTTGTTGGTGGAGATATCATCCATATCATCTCCAAGGTCCCTTCCGCTGCACTCACTCTCTTCGCCACTTTCGCTTGTCTCACTTTCTTCGCTCTCCTGAAGGTCCCCAGCATGAAACATATCGACCAATGCAGCGTCACCTCCTACGTCCAACTCCCTTGCCCTGTCGCTTCTGTCCTCCGCGTCATAGAAGATATCCCTTCTGATGTCGCCAATGCTTCGCTCGCCGTTCCCGTCGCTTGAAATCATCGAATTTGCCATGTCACTGGAGATCATTCCTGTTCCCGCAATCCAGGAGGTGCTTGTACAAGGCGAAGATGATACTGGTGACTCTTCGAAATCGGGATCTGTCTGTGGGCTGTCACTATTGTTTCGAGACGGTAGATCTATGCTGAAAATATCATGTCCTGCTCTCGACTCAAATCTTTGTGTGGTGACTGTCAAAGAAGGTTGATGTCCTGGCAGACCAAGAATGTTCTCGGCCCTTCCGAGTGACTGCAAGCTATGGACCTCTAGCTCATCGCTTTGTAGACTTTCTTCCACGCTCATGATATCTGCCTCTATGGCCTTGAGAGATGATGGCGACGTCCTTGATGATGGGAGTGCATCTGCAGAGCTAAGTTCTGCGAGAAAACTCTGCAGGGACGAGTCTGAGCTCTCTTCGTCGCTGCAGTCTGAAGAACTTCTGCTGCCCATAATGTTGTTATTCTATAAGGTAGGGATCGAAAGGTGCTTGATTTGTGGCCACCGTGCCCTCACGAGTTGATATATCTCAATAGACGCTGCGGTGACGAGTGAATAATCTTCCTATTCAAAAAGTATCTTCATGAGCTGAACAATCATGAATCACGCTCAGGATACAGCAAGATTACAATTACATTTTTACCTCCACAATGCGAACTATTCTCACACATGTATCGACTGGCTCTTCTTAATGCCTTGCGCCAGTTTATCCACTTGCTCGCTCGTCGTCCTGTTCGCTTGAATATCCCGTTGCCCTTCCATACATTAGCAACATCATAAAACAGGGACACCCACACTTACTTACCACTCTTCCTTGCGGCCGCCCAGGATTGGAAAGTACTCCAATGATTGTGATCTCGTAAGGCTTCCTCATGTGATTCATCCAATCCAGCCTTGAATTTGCCACTAAACGTCACCTCTCCAACCTTCTCTAGCTTCATCGTGTCGTCTGATTCATTAACCACATTCTGCGTGAATCGATCCGGGTTGTTTGTCTTGTAAATTGGGAGGGTGAAGGTTTCTTCTTTGTTGTCGATCAGTTTGTAGAGCCAAAGCACAGCGAAGTGCTTTTTGCTACCAAGAGGACCAGGAACCTGGGCCGCGGCTCCTGAGAACTCGAAGACAAGAGGACTCATATATCGGTAATGTACTGGGAGAAGCTCTTGGTCCTTCTCCAAAGTGTAAGAGACCATGTCATCGGACTTTGATCCGTTCTTCAGAGACCGCTGCACTGCCGAGGTTCGCACCTTCAGCTTGCTGGTATGCATTTCTCCAGTGGCAGTGATGGGTGATGAGACAGCAAACGACCCTATGTCGTAACCCAACAATGACTCCTCAAGCTTCATCCTCATTGATCGAAAGATCATGCTCACTCGGATGCGACCTGTTCCTGCTCCACCTTTGAGATCGTAGAACTTGACCACAGAGGATGATTCGTGGAAAATGTCTGACATCTTCAGACCGACTACGCCCACTAGGCAATCACGGGTTTTCTTCCTTGTGTCCCAAACGGAAAGCGTTAGAGTAGCCAATCTCCAGTCTCGTACGTATGTCTCAGTACTCGAATTGAATGTGGGGGCAGCATGAATGTTCTTCACCCGTGTCCTGTATGCCAGCTTATCGTTGATGTCTGCTGTGACATACAACGATGGGATATAATCAACATTGATAGTCTCATCTTCGTCGTTATCTTCACCATCAGAGTCCTGGCCCCGCACCTTGATGTGTCCCATCGATTTCTTGTTGGGATTGTCGACTTGAACGTTGATGCATTGGTGGATGGTCAACCCTAGGATTCCCGATGGCAAGTTTGGATCCGGGACGGTATTCTGGGCGTTCTGCGTCTTTTCCTCCTCTGCAACTTCTTGCTTCTCTCCGTGGTGATCTCGGGGATCCATGGCGTCTGTTCTCAATGCTTTCTCATACTCTGCCCGAGGAAAATAGCCAATCTCCCATTCAAGAACGCCTTCAGCATCCGTACCAGAAACATCACCCTGCAGTTTGTCTTCTCTCTTTTGCATTTGGTTTGCCTTCAGAATGAGTTCTTGCAAAGGAAATTCGCATACACCTGAAACATCATCGGAGCCAGTTGTGTCAGAGTCCCATAATCGTAGGAGAACATTCTCTTGACGCTTGACGTGCTCTGAGCGAATCATGATAATGGCAGACTCTTCCCAGACCGGATTTCGGTCCCCCTTGATAATGCGAGTAGCATACATGGGCTTCTCATACTTACTGAAGGCAATCGTCAAGTATGGATCAGCACCAGGTCCTCGTGTATCTTGGCGAGCCAGAGATCGAGCTCGATGGATCTTGACAAGGAGGACACCAATTGCCTCAGTGTCTTCCTTCTGGTCGGAGCCGCCAACATAGACTGTCATGTCAAGACTCATCGACTTGGGTTGAACGAAATCAGCCGCTGCTGCATCGATTTGAGAGACAAGAACGCTGTCGATGATGGGTAAGTTGAGAAGATCCAAAGCCCATGGTGCTCCCAGCGATACACATGCGTTTATCTTGGGATTTTCAGTCAATGCAAATGTGACGTTCTTGAGAAAGGGTAAATCTGGGTGCATTTGAAGTCGAATCCGGATAATGGCAACGAATTCTTTCACCTGCACAAAGATTGGGAGGGGGACTGGTCCGAGCATCGCCAAAATATCGACATGCATGTGGTCTTTTCGAGGCCGGAAAGGGGCTTCGTGGTAAGCGACAGCGATCTCGAGGTTGTAAAACACACCACCTTCTTCTCTCTCCACCGCCTTTTCTCGTTCCTTGGCTTGATCAATTGAGCCCGACTTATCGATGCCGTGGGTAGGCACCATATCGCCGAATTCAGAATCAGGAAGCGACCGCATGGAGAGGACTCTAACAGAATGGCACCCATGGCTGAGTCCTGTGATCTTGACTGTCGCGGGCACGCCTTCTGGAATGTAGGGTTTGATCATGTCGTTGATCTGGGAAGCGATATTATCAAAGAATTCTTGCTGCAGCGTTGCCCACAATGTTTCCACCAGGCTGTTCATCCACTCGACCGACTCGGGGACGTATTTCAATTTCTCCGTTTCTGGTTCATTCTGGTCGAGTTTCCTGTCTACCGCTTGCTTCGAGACCGCTGCGAGAATGAGGAAAACAGTTCCTGAAACTCCTACTGCTGGGAACAATGATTTTAGCAGCCCCTTGAATCCGCCTCCGATGAAAAGCCAGTCCAAGATCATGATAGATCCAAAGATAATATAGGATACCCTCCGCAGATCCTTATGCACTGTATCGAAGACTCGATCGAAATTGACCTCTGGGGTTGGATGGAAGAGGACATTGGATTTCTCTGCTCCAATCGGTACATCGTCTGTCTCTCCAGCTTTGGGCGCATCTTCTGCATCTGCCTCCTCTTTCTCCTTCTTGTCATCCGGTTTTGGTTGGTTCTCGGTTTCTTCAAAGTATCGTCGAGATGCTTCTTGTCGTTTTTGTTCTTGTTCGCGGAAATTCTGGATGTTGGGAGCGGGATTTCTCTCGGAATAGGCTTGGCCAAACTGTGTTGGTTCTGCTCGTAAAGGATCATTGTTCGAGCTGGCAGCTGGTCTCTGGGTGGCCGTCTGTGTTGTGTTAGCTGCGTACTGGGGGAGCTCGAGATAATGCCTGCTTACTGGATTGGCAGGTTGATTGCCAGAAGCAGTGGCAGATGGATCCATGATGCGGGGTCTTCGGGACTTTCAGAGCTGTAGCACTTCCCCGTCGTCGAGATGATACAGCCGGCAGAGCAATTGAAGCTCGATTATCTGTGTAGTTCCTCCGTATTGTCGGGCATATTGTTGGACATTGAAGCTGTGTTGCACGATACAGCAAGAACACGTGCTGAAGATGACGTCACATCCGAGCTTTTCGTCACTCCCGTCTTGACTAGGAGCTCGACGAAATCAGGAAAGCGACTTGGTACAGATGTTTTATTGGGAATCAGTTTACCAAGATCATTTCAGTCGATTTATTTCCCTCTCGGGGACAGACAACTTGAGCTTCATCTCCAGCTTCGTCAGAGCGAGGGGTAGCTGTTGACGACAACAAAATGCCACCCTATTCAGCTCGCAACAAAGTACACACCCAAACCTAACAATCTCCTGTCCGAGAGCTGTTCAGTGACTAACTTTACCTCATCCAGGTCCCGACCATCCAAAAGCTTGGAAAAGAGCTCGCAGAACGACTCAATCTCCAGCAGGCAGATGCATCCAAGGCCGCGTCTGGAAAGGATTCTGAGAAGATTGCCAAAGCAAAAGCAGCATCACGAAGAAAAGTAATTGATCCGACGACGAAGAATGAGGTCATAATACAGGATGTAGATGGAGACTTCGAAGCATCAATTCGAAAGCCAACAATTACTGTCCCCAATCCCACAAATCTGCCAAAGGGCTTTGGAGAAGAATTCAGACAGACGCTCGATGAACTTGCCCCACCTGAAGCCGATCCAGGCAGAACGAAAGACTTCCTACATCGGTCGACAAATAGGGAGGTCATATATCATCCAGTCCCCATTGCCGACCTTCAACGTTCATTCTATGCTCTCGAAGGAGCTGTGCGGGCAACTGAAATTGGAGTGGTAATTGGGACTGTTGTTCTGAATGGATTATTCTTGGGCTGGGGATTCAAATCTTTCTTTTCTTCCTTCTTTGCAGGAATCATTGTGGCTTGTGGGATACATCTTTGGCTTCGGAACATACAAGAAGATGCAAATGCCATCAACTGGGATGCTGAACGAAAGAGGGCTGTGGCTGCCACGGAGTCTCTTGTCCCCGAGTCTGTTGAATGGATGAACTCGCTGGTCGGAATTGTTTGGAATTTGATTAACCCAGAAATGTTTGCTGCAATGGCAGATACCCTCGAAGACGTCATGCAAGCATCTGTTCCTCCAGCCTTGATTCAGAATGTCCGAGTGTCTTCCATTGGACTCGGAGACCAAGCTTTCAAGGTCCTGTCTTTGCGCGCTCTGCCATCTGCGGAAGGAGATAGCCCATCGAAACACAAGTCTGCAGGAAATGAAAAGTCCCAGGAGGAAAAGGACTTGATGAAGGAGCAGCGCGAGCTTGAAGGAGAGGATGATGAGGACTCAAAGTACTACAATCTTGAGATGTCCTTCGCATATCATGCCATACCTGCGAAGGGTGTTATTGGGAAAGCAAAGAACTTGCATCTCGAGGTCATCTTCTATTTGGGAGTTCAAGGTCTCGTAGGAGTTCCTCTTCCAATCTTCGTTGAATTGAATGGTATTATCGGAACGGTCAGACTTCGATTTCAGCTTACACCGAATCCCCCTTTCCTGAAGAATGTCACATTCACATTCATGGGTCTGCCAAAGATCGATGCTTCAGCTGTTCCTCTTACATCCAAGGGCATCAATGTTCTGGATCTGCCTTTGATTTCTGGATTCGTCAATTCTTCAATCGCTGCGGCATTGGATGTCTATGTCGCTCCAAAGTCTCTGATCATGGACATGTCAAAGATGATTCAAGGAGATGCCGTCAAGAAAGAAACGGACGCCATGGGATTGATTTACATCAAGATCAAGCGTGCAGAAGGGATTGCTGCTCAAGACCGCTCTGGCAAGAGCGACCCATTCATCACACTGGCTTTTTCGGAGTTTGGGAAGCCGATGTATTGCACGAGGATCATTGAGCAAGACTTGAATCCTGTTTGGAACGAACAGACGTGCCTGCTTATTTACCAGGACCAATTGAAGGCTGGCGAGAAGCTTTCAGTTGAATTGTGGGACTCCGATATGATTACCGCTGATGATGTAGTTGGGAAGGTCGATTTTGATCTCAGAGACTTAATCAAGAATCATGGGAACAAGATCACTGAGAGGGCTGATGAGCTATGTGATGAGAAGGGGGAGAAGTTGCCCGGGAAATTGTACTGGGATATTGGGTACTTTCCTCGATCCGAGTTCAAGGCCTCCATGAAGACGGATGGGAAGAACGTCGCGGTCCCGGAAGAGATTAGGCATCGGCCTGAGTTTGATGACGATAAAGGCGTGGTCACAACACAGCAAGAGATTGATGTCACTACAACACCTCCGGATCCATCACTTCCGACTGGAATCTGTTCAATATTGATTCATCAAGTCGAGAACCTTGAGGTTGAGAGGCAATCAGGAAGCTTTGGCTCCTATAAGCCGTGGACACCAGCTCAAGTGACAGGGGAGAATACGGACGAAGAGGGAGATGACCACCCATCATCCTACTGCACCATTCTGCAAAATGATGAGCTAGTGTTCAAGACCAGGACAAAGGTCAAATCTTCCGCACCCATCTTCAACGCGCAGACCGAGCGATTTGTCAGAGATTGGAGGAATGCTGTTTTCACAGTGACTTGTCGTGACTCTGTTCACAGAGAGCATGATCCAATTCTCGGAGCAGTTACGCTGAAGCTGAGTGAGATTCTGCAGACGTCTTCCCAGAGTACTGCCGTCTATGCCCTGGATGGCGGGATGGGCTACGGAAGAATTACGATCTCAGTCTTGTTCCGATCTGTAGGCTTGCAATTACCGAGGGAACTGTTGGGCTGGGATCTTGGATCGCTGGAGGTTCTAGGGCAGAAAGTCCTCGTGGAGGACGGTAACCAATTGGCTGGTACTAGAATTGCCATCCATACAGATGTTGGCAAAGGATCCATCTCTCGCAGTTGGATTGATAAGGACAACCCAAATGGAGTTGCGTGGGATCTGCAACAAGTAACAGAAGGCGACAAGGCCTTGCAAAAGCATCGAATACTCATGCCGGTACGCCGACGATATCAATCTCCAGTAAAGTTTGAGTTCTACAGCCGAGGCAATCGAAAGCCTATTGGTTACGCTATATCTTGGCTTTGTGATTTGGAGGACAACAAGGAGACTGTCTTGGGCCTACCAGTGTACAAGTCGGATGAGGGCATGCAGAATTATCATTCCGATGCTAAGGGCGAGAAGATTGGAACCCTCAATTTGATTGTCCGGTTCAAGATGGGTATGGACGGTTCGCACATGCAGTGGATCAAGACGAATGATGAACATGAGACGTTCGAGTCTTGGAGGTGCAGTGTAGCGGAAGGCTATAGAACTCGAATTGTGAAGAGGGAAACGCCCGAGACAGTGAAAGAACTTCTACAGGATAGCAAAGTCGATGGCCCAAACACCAAGATGGATGAATCCGAGGACGAGAGTGAGCAGGTTGCTCGTGTTCCTCGTGGTGACAATGTTGAGAAAGACATAGATGAACCTGGTGGAGATGTGAATTTTGGAGATGAGCTGACCGACTTCATGTCGCCTGTGTCGGATGATGATGATGATTTGGTTGTCCAAGAAGATTTTACTGATTCAGAGCTCGATGACGAGGAGTTGAAGAAGAGGAGACAAAAGCAGGACAAAGACGCACAAAAGGCTGAGCTGCATCGGAAGCATCGAGGGTCGATGAATATTAAAGCGCTGAGGCATTTGAAGTTCACCAAGGATGAGGCGAAGGTTTTGGGGCACAAGATCAAGGGAAGGTTCAGCATGAAAGGAAGGGAGCCAGGTGTGGAAACAGAATTATAATTTAGGTTAATGTTCGAAGCTATCATCACTTGCGGGAACAGTATGTTTCAGTCCTCCTGGCAGCAACTCAAAGTGCTCTGCCATCGTCTCAAACAACAATGTCAACTAACCCTCATTCACACGGGCATGGCAGGGTGGCGCCGCATCTTCTTCTGATTTCTGGAAATATATAGCTTTTATAGCTCAATATTCTATATATATATCGGACGTCCATCCTGCCCTCGCTGACGAGGGTATATACTACATCGGATTTTGGGTGAAAGGGGGCAATTCCCCTGACGGTGCTAGAAGGGGAAGGCGGTCGCCGAGGGCGGTGAGTGCCGAGTGCCACCGAAAGGGGTTCTGCCGATCTCCTTTAACCTCTTCGTCACTTCTAACAAGGGATCCAAGGGATCGCCGGAGGCTTGGAGCCCTCCCTACTCAGTACACGGACCACCGCGTACGCGTTTATACTAGTGAGAGAGACGCTAGCGCGTCTCCCTTCTTGCTTTCTTGCCTAAATGGAATTCTAAGAATGGATCTTCTTTCTTTTAATCCTACTTATAATATCTTAATCTGTACGAGCTACAAATATGCCGTTCATTCTACAGCTATTCCAGGGCACTTGTACGACCACCACAAAGCTACGATCCCACCTGGCAAGGTCCAGGAATACGCCCGTCTCTTTACCCCAGATTCTCTTTTACTTCCCCGGGAAGTGAAACAACTCTATGTCCCTACTACTATACTGCCTATCCCGCATTTGCGGATCTACGACGATGCTTACTACTGCAAGCTCTGCCCTCCGGATTAGCTGTATGTGATCCGTAGCGAGAAGATTCTGCTCGGTTATTTAAAGGAAGCCTATCAATGGAATAGGAGCAAAGGCTTTGCGGACCGGCCGTTTAAGTCGCGCTTGCCACTCAGCGATGCCGCCTACTTCCCCGTTGCTTGCCAGACCTTCCATACAAAAGCCTACACCCGCTACTTCCTCGTTAATAACGGCAAGCCTGGCTCTGATCTAGCGCTAGCGCAGCTCGCGGAGGCCCTTAAGAAACCACCCCTTAGCCTCCGAGAATAGGTGGAGCAAACCCTTGCTTAGAAGCTCCAAGCACCTAAACCCGACATTACCTCGCGCCACAAGACTAAAGTCTCTCCCTAGCTCGACTTAACGCAATAGGAGCGGTACTTTCGAGGTTATAACTTAAGTCGTATTATACGCCTCCTTGATCTCCCATCGCTTCATCCCCTATTCGACCCCGATTAGCCAGATAATCACCTCGTCCTCATACTTGAATCCTTTAACCGTCTTATCGAGCAAGCCCGTGAATCGCTCCACACCAACCGGATCAACATCTTCGATTAGCAGCGTGTTAGTAGCTTCCTCACTCGCCGGACCACAAACTTCTCATTAGTGTACAAGCTTCAAGAGGGCACTTATATTACATATAAGAAGGTGTGGAAGCAACTGCTAAGCTTCGTTTATCAGCGTGTCTAGCGGAACCAAGGCCCTGAGCTCTCTTATCGTCTAACTAACGCTCAGGTGACAGCCCTCGATCGAGTAATGCAAGCTGCGGCCGAGCTTGCCCGGGAACAGCAAAGCGCTAGTCTGGCGCCAATATAGCTTCAGCAAAGTCTCGATTATACTACGATCCAACTATGTATCTCACTACTAGACCATACTTTATTCGACACAATTTACGATAGTATCGTCGTCGTCTTTATAGCGGTTCTTAGTATTAGATATCCTAGATTATTAGTCGATCAGAATGCCACATTTAGCGATTCTCTGTATTATACCCCATATCTCTCTGCCTTTATCAAGATAGCCTAGCTCCTTGTTATTCAACGCGCAGTACTTGCAGTAAATCGAGGTGAAGTTCCACATGTAGCTAACATATTGAATGTTATACAAGAGCGCTTTATAGTATATGGCACGCATTCCCTTGTGAACTAGGCACAGAAGCTACATAGCTTTGGAAAACAGATCAATGAGATCACTACCTCTCTAGGATATATCTCCTGGAGCGACGACGGCGAGCACCTTAGCTACAAGGGCCTGGAACTAGGGATGACCGACTTAAAGAAGTTCCTGGCGACCCAGACAGCCGTTATACAGTCGCTCCTAGAGGAGCTACTACGTGTACATCCAGACGAAGAGCGAGACGAGGTTGTTCCACTAGTTAATCTTTCCCGACTCTAGGACGATCCGGCTAACAGCAAGCCCGGCTAGTGCTTCCTAGACGACCCGCGGAATAACCACCTCCAAGGATATGATCGATGGCTGCTTAATTGTGTGCTAGACGAGAGTTGGCTGTAGTAAGAGTTCCTAATCAAGGGTACGAAGGCCGTGTGGCGGCGTAAGGCTGCTAAGCAATACCTAAAGCAAGCCAGCACCTTCCTTAAGCTATTGCTCCTCCTTATCCACATCCTGGGGGGCTAGCCTGCACGGGGAACTAAGCTTCTTAGCCTGCAGCTGCGTAATACTGTCCATAGGCTACAACGGAATATCTTTATAGAGAATGGCCTTGTTGGCTTTGTTACCTTCTACCACAAGGGCTATAGCGTCTCGAGGTCAACCAAAATCATCCACCGGTATCTGCCCGAGGCAATAAGTGAGCTCTTAGTCTACTACGCCTGGATCGTCTAGCCATTCTGCGAGTAGCTGTGTATGCTTGCTCTAAACGAAAGCCCTAGTACACCAACTTTCCTCTAGGCGATCAAGAAGGGAACTTACAGCGAGCTATAGCCAAGTAGTCGCCTAACGAACGTCTTCGCACAGTAGTTCAAGCAACATCTTAATACCGATGCAAATATCCTTCTTTAGCGGCACGCAGCGATTGCTATCTCTCGCCGGCATCTACGGCAAGCCAAGTTTCGGAAGGACTACGAAGTAGACGCTCCCGGAACCTAGAATAACGCACAAGCTACACATGCGGCTAATATAGCTAGTATAATCTATGCTAGAGGGATTGAAGAAGCACCTAGTCACGTTGCCTCTGCACGTGCAAAGTACCGGCAGATCAGCAAAGAGTGGCATGCATACCTAGGGTTTTCTGGCTTTCAAAGGTTAGCTCAGATATAACCCATAGTTTTACAAACATCCGACCTTAGATAGCCCACTAAATCCTTAGTCAATCACTAAGAGCTACTTAAACGCAAAGTCCTCGGTGAATTGCTAATTCAAAACCAGATAACGAACCGCAATAAAATCAATGTCTATCTGTAAAAGATACTAAAAAGAGAGTCTATACGCCGACAAACTAGGAAACTAGCACGTTACTAAGACAAATCAGACACTATATCAAGTAATAGATCAGACTATAAGAAAGAGCCTATATTCAAACGCCGCCGTTCTTAAGTATAGACTTATAGAGTTATTAGAGAATGTATATAATCTTTAATATATAATTTACAAAGCAATAAATCGCCAAGTTATTCGAAAGCGCAAAGATTTAACTATTCTTAAAGACGTCATCTAGCTAACTGCTCCACAAATCTAAGCCATAGATAAGATTATAGAAGCCTTAGCTATTAAGGATAAGGAAGAGGCTACAATAGCTCTCAAGCATGCTATTCGGCGACTCTACTTAGCCTTAATCTGCCACACTATCGGCAGCGTGCCGTTTAAATCGCTCGTCTTGAGTTTTTGTGCTATACTAAGTCGGAAAGTCCGTGGGAAAGGCCGAGGATTGTGGGAAGAGCCGGGGAATTTCAACAGCCATTTGTTAGCTCTGACCTAGACTGCTTAACTTATACTCTTTGACTACGCTTGTTTCCAAGAGCAAGACAATAAAGACCAAATCCCCGTCTTTCTCGCTAAGATTTGTAAGAAGTTCTTCTAGTAGCTAGCGGAGACGCCGTTTGGGCACATTCTATAGTGGAGGCTATACTTGTTTAAGGTTGGAAAGGCTACAATTGCAAAACACTAAGCTCGCTAGCTCTTAGACGGGCAGACAGTGGAATATCGCGGGGTAGAGTTGCAAATGTCACAGATCTCCGACTTAGTGGTTTCCGAATATCAACAAGCCCATGCCTTGCTCTATAATAAGCTCTTGTTCTAAGCAAAGGACCTAATACCAATAGAATCGTGGAAGCTAAAGGACGATCTGGATCTAAACGGCATTAGGGAGGATATTGAGGACGAGCTAGATCTGGTTGCCTTAGCGGAACTAAGCAATCACATATACTATACATTTAATCATGCATATGCTGGAACAACGACGCTTACTATAAATACTTTGTTGCACCGGAATTACCGAGCATCCGAGAGCTAGCGTACTTTCTTCCGGTTCGACTATATTCTCTAGGGAAAGAGGCCGCGAGGTGCTTTAGAGACGCTATCCTTGCGAATGCTTGATGCTTCCAAACGTAGTCAAATGCGTAAGAGAAGTGCTTATACTAAGGCTAACTTGCTAGCCGTTGCTCGGAAACTATACAATGCACCGGACCTGCAATTCCGGGTCCCTGGTCAGCGGAATGGCGTGCTTGCCATTATGGGGCCTTAGCCAGCCGAGCAAGTGGTTCTGGTAATAGGAACCGGCTCCGGTAAGACTTTGGTCGTCATGATTGGAGCTGCAATTGCAGATGCTGGGACTACAATCCTCGTTTTGCCAATGGTTGCTCTACGGGGTGATATACTGAGACGCTTTCACAAAGTAGGCATCCGGCCGCTAATCTAGTCCGTCGATTATAAACGGTTAGCGTCACTAGTCATTGTGTTAGCTAAAGCTGCGTGTACTTAGGGCTTTTTAGAGTATTGCCACCTCTTGGTCAGCCGGCAGCAGCTCGATCGTATTATGATTGACGAGAGTCATCTCACGATTACGGCTAGCGACTACCGGCCTTGCATGGCCTAGCTCGGCTGGTACGTCCGGCAGGTGAGGACGCAGACGGTCTGGCTAACGGCCACGCTCCCTCTTGTTATACAAAAAAAGTTTACTAAACATAATAAACTTATAAAGCCTAGAATCATCCGAGAGTCGACTAATCGATCGAATATTAAGTACATAGTTAGCTTCGAGACCGGGCCTAGCATTCTAATCGAAAGAGCTGCCTATTTAGTCCAAGCGTGCTAGCCTAGGCAAGCGATCTTCAACCACGCGCGAGACAAGATTATTATCTATTGCCGGACCCGGGAAAAGGTGGCCCAGCTAGCTAAGATCTTATAGTGCCCTACGTACACGTCTAAGTCAGGAACTAAGAAGGAGAAGGCTACTATTATTAGTCGTTAGCTTAGTAATAGAGACTAGCCGGTGATCGTAGCTACGTCTGCTCTTAGGATCGGGTTCGACTACCCCTACGTCCGTTGGGTGATTCATATCGATACGCCTAACAAAGCTACGGCCTTTTCTCAAAAATCTGGCAAAGCTGGCCGAGATAGTAGCAAGGCCTCGTCCATTGTGCTACTCAACGCCACGTGGAAACCGCGGCTCGAGCAAGGCCTGTCCCCAGATGAGGAGGCTATACAGCTTTACTTGGCCCAGCAGTATTGCTCCCGCGGCGTCCTAAGCTAGTTCTTAGACGACTAGCCGCACTAGCGGTGGTGTATGCCAGGGGAGGAAGTATGCCAGGTCTATCGAAAGCCTCACCAAGAAAGCCGGCCCCTCGATTTAAAGTTTAGATTAATAGTGCCAAAGCAAGTAACTTTTACCGGCCCTACGGAAGTACTACAGCAAAATTATATCCAAGACCAAGTACTCGACCGCTATAAGCAAGATCTAGAAGCGGTAGCTAACACATGCCTCTCTTATCGGATGCAAGGCCGTCGATTTAATCACGCCTCTTATAATTGCTCCCGCCGCTTCGACTAGATCCGTGCCAAGGACGAGGCTTACCAAGCACGCAAGAGCGAGGACAAGGAGTGGATTCAGCGATACGTAGCCTACTAAAAGTGTTACTAACCGCAGGGTATCTGCCGCGTCGCCGACTTAGACCACAAGGAGACTAAATGCCGCTTCCCAGATCTAGTGATACTACTCTACTACGGGGTCTACCTATCCAAGCTAACAAAATGAAGTTAAGTCAAATGCATTTGATTTCCCATACAACCGTTTAGCGTGGAATTACCGAGTAAGCCAACTTCATTTAGCCAACTTCATTTATTAGGGTTACGTCCAAATAAGCTCGGATGCGGCTCAAATTCGAGTATGAGTTGGCCCGGGCATATGCGACACTAACCCCGTCAAATGCATTACCCAAAGCCCGTCGTAGAGTTATTTATCAAGAGTTAGATTTAGCAAATTGATTTTTGATGGGGGAAAGCAAGTGCATAGGCCAAGTAAGCAAAATCCCTAGGTTTGAGCATAAGTAGGCATAAAATCATAAAAGTATAAAATCGGAAATTAAAGCTAGCTATTACACGCATGGGTTCAGAGCATGGATTTGGACGCGTAAGACAACGCGTAGAAAAGGCAAGCAAAGTTAGAATAGATAGAAATATATATTTGATTCATTTGATTAGCATTTATTATTATAGAACCGTTTGTGTATTTGCTAGAACATAAGGTAGTAGTGTGTATTAAATGCAAGCATGCTATGTTACCTAGCAACGTCGACACCCATTTAAGGGACGAAAACACGCATAACATGCCCAAGGAAAGTAGAGGATTAGTAGTCCAGGAGATCCAGAAAATTCAAGGCTTGATAACAAGCAAGGCAGATTTGAATAGGTTAGTTTTCCCCCCGGTAGGCAACCCCCCCATTCCAGTATTACAGGAGCCCAGGACAAATGGCAAGAAGTGTCAGTTGCCTAGCAAAGCCGGAAAGCCATGCTAATATATCAGTTGCCACCGACAAATGATCCAAGAGCATTGCCGTCAAGTACATCAATAGGAGAACCCGCAGAAGAAAGGCCGGCCAGAGACAAGGAGAGAAGTGCAAGTGCCGTAGCGGACCGGCGTCTATTACCAGCATTTTTTCATCCGTGGACCGGAAGCCCAGTTTTTTGAGGTTCAAGCAGTAGAATCTAGTCTAGCAACCCCGTCCGGAGACATTGATTTGGAGGCCGCAAAGACAAAGTTGAAGCAAGCCATGCAGCAAGCAGAAGAGGACATACGGCGTTAGATCACCGAACCGGAAGCAGCCCGGGAGCCAAATCCATGGTTACGTCGAGTAGGGTGGGTTAAGCATTCAGAAGGGTTTGACCGGACGGAATTACAGGCATTAGTTGCACCCGTGAAGGACGACGAGCTAGAGTTAGAAGTGTTATGCCGGGCGTTTGATTAGTTAATTCAAGACGCACAATACTATTGTATTCGACCGGTGGTTGGGTTAGAGGCATTGTTTGAGGCGAACCGGAAGGAGGTAGACAAGGACGTCCGGATGCCGTTTGATAGTTGGATAGATATTACCACCATTATGCGATATACAGAGGTTTACAAGCAGTTATTACGTTATATATTCCGGTCCAAAGACATTGAGCCCGAGAAGCGGCCGGCGTACGAGTTGACGGAACGACAGCAGATGTGCATTAAGGACGTGTAGACGAGCATTAAGGAATTTGTGTGGTAGAAGGAGGAGCAGGGGGGAGCTTTAGGAAGCGGGGCGGACGAGGGAGAGTCGGACGAAGAGATTGAGTGGATAGGCCGGATTTAAAGGCAGATTTTACGGTTGTGGATAGCATTATTAAACTAGCCATTGCAGGACGACGAGTACAAGAGCGTGTTAATTAGTGGACTAGCCGTTTTGGGGATGCGGGAGGACGACGGGTAGTTAGATGCCGAGGATTATACGCCCAAATATTCGGCCGTGATCAAGTTGGCCCGGTTGATAGTAGTCTAAGAGGCGTATAAGTGGCGTTGAGAAGCCATTGAGCAGTATGAGAGCTGTGGTTTGAGCGCGAAGCAAGCCAGGGAGAAAGCATCAAGCCATTACGTTTTAACACGGGGCTTAGTCAGCGCGTTTATGACCATGGCCCACGGTAGCCAAGATCCCAAGCCCATGCAGTGGTTATACCGTAGTCGGTCGTACGGCTTCAAGATCCGGTACACTATCATAGCCGAGGGGAAGATCTAGTGGATTAGGGATAACGTTTTATATGCCAATATGCGGTTTAGCATAAGCTAGTTCCGGGGTATAATTCATAGGTTGGTTGGAGAGGCACGAGAGGAGTTGTTTGAGAAGTTGATGGTAGTAAGGATAAGTGCAGACCGAGAAGTGGATATGAAGCAAGTGCCACCGATCCACTGGGATAAAATAGTAGATTAGCCATTAGAAACCAGAGTTGGGTGGTCGTTTTTGGACGATGAGCGGAACTAGTTTGCAATATGTAAGCAGTGGTGGTTATATGAGCGGATGTATAAAGAGGAGCAGTTGAGAGAGCAGTTTATGGACGCGGTAAGGAAGTTGAAGAGGGAAGCTGTAGCCGCATTTCAGCGTTACGTGGAGCGGTTCCAGGAGTTATTGTGGGGTTTGATGCATTTATGTAGTGGGCAGCCAGCTAGAGCACCGGAGTTATTAGGAATGCGGTAGAAGAATACAGCGTACGGTGGCGTACGGAACATTTTCATTAAGGAGGGTTTAGTTGCGTTTGTAGCCACGTACTATAAGGGGTATCGGAGCAGTGGAAACATTAAGATCGTGCACCGGTATTTGCCACGAGAGGTGGGGGAGTTATTAGTGTATTATTTGTGGTTAGTTTTACCATTTTGGGAGAAGTTGTAGTTCTAGATGACAAGGAAGTCGAGCAGCAGTCAGTTTTTGTGGGGAGATAGTCAGAAGAAGGAACATCGGCAGTGGACGGGACCGAGACGGAAGTAGCCCATGCTCGTGGAAAGGGACGATGTTCTAGAAGAGAGGCGAGGAGAGCTAGAAGTATAAGATAGGAATGAGAGCAGGCAACAGGCAAGGTTAGTATCCTAGCGTCAGGCACGTGTATAGACGTCCGAACGAGCCCGGAAGATTTTAAAGGAAGCTACTATAAGATGGATGGGTGTAGATAAGTTGAATATTAGTGGATATCGACAGATTGCTATTGCCATATCCCGGAGGTATTGTCGAGAAGACCGATTTGAGGAAGAGAAGAGCAAGTTAGAGGAGAGTGAGGGTTGGGACGAGGATAATGCCGATGGAGACGATCTATAGGATTTGTAGGCCGGTCACAGGACCTATATTGCAGGCATGATTTACGCCAGGGAGTTGATGGAAAGTGATAATTCTATTATTAGCCGCCGTGAGAAGTTCCGACGAGTCAGCCACGTATAGCATTGTTTTTTGGGGTTTCCGTCAGCACATTAAGGTATTAGTATGAGCGGGAGAGCCAAGAGAAAGCGGCAGGTATATAAAGAAGAGATGCAAGACGCGCAGTTAACCCGGTGGAAGCGATTGCGAGGAGTCGACATCTATACCGAGTTAGAGAAGATGTTAGGGAGTGAGGCCCGGTTCCGTGGGTTGTAAGAGCCCGTATTACAAGCTATTATAAAGCACTAGAGCCCCATTGTGGCTGTAATGGGAACCGGGGTTGGGAAGACGTTATTGTTTTAGTTGCCGGCCAAGAGCATAAGTTTCGGAACAACGGTAGTCATTAGCCCATTGGTTTCATTGCAGGACCATATAGTAGAGAGATGTCAGCAAGCCGGCATTTCGTGCGTTAAGTGGGATCCCCGACAGTGCCATTCCCCTAGCCAGATTGTCATCATCACGCTAGAGTCAGCAGTCAGCAAGACGTTTGGGACGTTTTTAGACCGGTTACAAGGATTGCATTTATTAGAGCGGTTCGTGTTTAACGAGTATTATACGCCATTAGATAGCACGGCCGAGTTCCGGCCCAAGATGCGGCAATTAGGCGAGTTGATGGAAAGGGAGGTGCAGATAGTGTATTTGACGGCAACGTTACCACCTTATGCCGAGCTAGAGTTTATGAATATTATGAGGATCAAGGCCGACGATGTTTACATATTCCGGTCCCCAACTAGCCGTCCCAACATTGCGTATTCTATAGTTGAGTATGAGGAGGATGAATTTGGGAGAAGGGACATTATAGCCGCTTGTAGGTTGGTGGAGCAGAAGTTGGAAGAATACGCCGCCCTAGCGAAGATTATTATATACAGCAGCAGCATTATCACTACACAAGAGGTGAGTAGTGCATTAGGTTACCATGCATATTACCGAGACGTAGGTGATACAGCCGTTAAAGATGAGATCCGGAAGGCGTGGGAGAGTGCGGATAGACGGGTTGTAGTTACTACTAATGCATTTAGATTAGGCATCGACCGGCCGGATGTTCGTGTTGTGGTTTATATTGGGCCGATTTACTAGATGCGGAATTATAGTCAGGAGAGTGGTCGAGCTGAGCGGGATGGGAAGAGGAGTGAAGCGATTGTTTTAATGCCCGTTGGAAGACAAGAGGTATTGTAAAAGGCACACGAGCAAGCATGGCGACGGCCAGTTAAGTTTCACATTTCTACCTCTAGAAATTCGACTTATTATGGCGAACTATGCGGCTCCCGAAGCGAAATGACCCTGGATCAGGGGGGGATGCACGGACCAGTCCACCATGATAAGTTCACCATAATATGTGCTGCCCAGCGCCGGTCGATGACCTCTGTTTTTGGCCTCGTCGTCTTCCGCGACGGCTTAGGGTAGGGCGGCCTACGGACGGACTATGAGCGACGGGTTTCTCTACAAGCCGGAGTGGCAGGTGCTGCTCTGCACCCAGTGCGGGTTCTGTTTACGCCCCGGACGCAGCGTCTGGCTTCGACACCTCAGGCAGAAGCCGCACTGCCTGCGAGGTGCACCGTTGAAGGCTCTCGTCGAGCTCTTTGCAACCTACGGCCTGCTGGTCCCGGAGCAGGTAGCCGTACCGACCCAAGTAGTGGCTGGCCTACGGCTCCAGGATGGCTTCCAGTGCCTGACGTGCTCGGCGGGCCTCACACAGAGCCTCCAGACCATCCAGCTACACGTGTCCAAGGCGCACCAGCAGAAGCCTGCATTACATCAGAAGAGCCCCCTCTGGCGGAGGTACAAGCTACAGACCTTCTTCGCCGAAAAGCAGTACATCCGGTATTTTGTGGCGGATGACGCCAAAGGAGCCGCAGACGCCGGCACAAAGAGCTTAGATCCAAGGGAGGCAGACTTCTTCAAACAGCTTAGCGAGGACGTAGCGGTTGTAGAGGAGGATGCTAAAGCAGAAGCCAACGTCGTTTATGGCTTCGGTAGCCATAAATCTGCTGTGGTGCCGTGGCTTCGACGGACGGGCATCGAGGAGCACACGCGGGGCTTGAAGAAGGACGAGATGCACGCCTCGTTTGCGGTGCCAAAGACTGCCGAGAGCGAGCCCGAGTTGTTTTTAATGCTGGAAATCATGGACGAGATCTTTACAGAGGCACACAGCTGGTGCTTCGACGGTCCCGACTGCATGCTGACCTGGCCACGGCAGCTAGCGCTGAGCCGCTTCCACACTGCTGCTGCCTCAGGGCAGAAACTACGCGCGTTCGACCCCAAGAAGGAGCCTAATACGCTTAAGACCAACTTTGGCTACTGGAAGCAGTTTTTGACTTATTGCTACTAGGTGGCCTACCGCGGTAGCCACTTTACTACGGCAGACGACGACTAGCGGACCCCTGAAAGCAGCATCCAGCTCACGGGTGCCCAGGAAAAGGCGTGGGAAGCGGCCTTCCAAAGTGCTGTCGAGCAGGACCGGCCTGCGCTAAGAGATGCTATATCCGTCCTCTTAATGGCGCTGATCTGCCACGAATTTGGAGGCAATCGGTACAGCTCCCTACTGCTTAGCTTCTGTGCTATGCTCAGCATTAAGCTGTATACTAAGATGTGGAAAGAGCTGGGCAACTATAACAGCTGCTTGTCTGGTGTGATCTGAGTTGTACAGCTGATCATCTTTCACGCTAGCGCCTGTTTAGAGAAGGCGGAGCTAGGTGATACGCTCGAGCGCATTAAGCAGTATTGCGGGCGGTTCTTGAAGCAGAACACCGAGACTCCCATGGGCGAGATCCTCGGCTGGCGCTTACTGCTGTTTACTGTCTCAAAGGAGGTCGTTGGGCCGCACCAAGCATAGTGGGATGTGGACGAGAAGGTCCTGACCTATCGGGACGTTGATTTGCATATGGATTACGTGCCGCGGCTCTTACTCTCCGACTTCTAGCAGGCCCAGCACCTACTCTACAACGAGCTAATGTTCGGGGCCCAGAACCTCCCGCGGATGCGTACTTGGGCTTTAAAGGACAACTTGGACGCCGATGCCTTTGGCTGGTTCTTTGGCCAGCACCGGGAGAACGTTGAGCTGGTAAAGCCGCTAGCGAGGTCTTTGCTAACCGTTATCTAAGACTCGAAGCCGTTGCGGGACTCGTTTCTGGATGCCACTGCGGATGGCGCTAAGGTCTGGCGAGGGAAGGCGATTGAGTAGTATGAGGCTGTGGCTAACGAGTTCCTAAAAAGGCTCTTAGTCTTAATCCACATGGGTTCTAGCTAGCCTCTGCGCGAGAGTAAACTATTCTCCGTCACCTAGCGTAACACCCAGCGGCGGCAAAACGTCTACCTTAAGCACGGGCTAGTTATACTACACACTACATACCACAAAGGTTAGCAGCAGACGGGTAAGTTTAAGGATAATATCCGGTTCTTGCCTGCATCCGTTGGAGACCTCTTGCTCGACTACTTGGTGGTTGTCATCCCGCTCCGCTAGGTCTTCCTTCGCTAGTCTGCCCTACATACCATTATCTCTCCGTACTTATGGTGGTAAGACGGGAAGGTCTGGGCTAACAACCGGCTTATGCGGTGTATAGAGCAGGCGTGTAGTCGGGCTAGCATCCCCAGGCTACACATAGCCAACTAGCGGTAGATAACAGTTAATATCATTAAAACTAAGTTTGTAGCTAACGTTGGGTGCTTTAAGGTTGACGATGGAGCTAACGACGAGGATGCCGAAGAGATTAAGGCTAACATTCGGGTTATGACCAAGCAGTAGAACTATAGTACGCGGACTGTTAATCGGGTATATGCAAACCAATATAATGCTAACTTTGGGAATGTATGGGATAGCCTTATCCGCCGGAATCTGCGTGCTTCAACTCTATAGAAGGACTTGTGGGGGCTTAACTAGCTGCTTGGACCTACTAGGAAGAGGAAGCGGGATGGTGAAGATATTAGTAGTCCGCAAATGCTTAAGAAGATCGCTATAGGGGTCTACCGGCCACGGAAGAAGTAGTTAGCTATAGCTCTACTAAAGAGCGCTAGAAAGCTATACTAGGATAATACGCTACAATGGAGGTTAGTAGCCTAGGAACGGGCTATAACTACTATTATATTATAGACTAAGCAGGTGGTGGTTATTATAGCTACTAGCGAGGGGAAGAGCCTGCTATTCATACTGCCCTACATCCTCCCTGATGCTAGGGTGATGATCTTAGTCTTGCCCCTTATGTCTCTGCGAGGGGACCTCCTCCGCTAAGTCCGAGAGTTGGGGATCGATCACTTGGTGTGGGCGCCTGGCGAGCAGTAAGATGCACCCTTGGTGTTTATTACAGTTAAAGCAGTATGTACGGAATAGTTTCGGACTTATGCCTATAAGCTCGCGGCTACACAAGACCTCGGCCGCATTGTGTTTAACGAGGCTCACTTAACCATCACAGCGTCCGACTATCGCCAGGCTATAGTTGACCTCGCCTTAATCCACAACGTTCGTACGCAGTTTGTTTACTTAACAGCCACTCTACCACCGACAATATAAGCTACGTTTGAAGAGCAAAATAACCTAGTGAATCCCAAAGTGATCCGGGTATCGACGAACCGGTGAAATCTGTTCTATTTGGTGCAGCGGGCCACTAGGCTAGGGAGTTTGCTTAAAGAAGGCGCGCGGAGGGCTAGGGATGCTTAGCAAGCGAGTGGGCTACTTGACCAGACTCGAAACAAGATTATCCTCTACGTCCGAACGAGGGACGAGGCTAAGGAGCTGGCTGAGCTACTGAGCTGCCTAGTCTACACTACTAAAGTCGGTACAGCTAAGGAGAAGGAAGAGCTACTAAGAACGTGGCTTACTACCCCTGAGCAGCCGTATATTATAGTAACATTAGCTCTGAGTGCAGGCTTCGACTATGCACACGTCCGGCTCGTAATACACATCAACGAGCTAGATTCCTTTGTCGACTTTGCATAGGAGTCTAGGCGGGCTGGATAGGATGGGAAGGAGGCCTACTCAGTTGTGCTCTTACCCCCTCGATGGGTGTTATAAGTGGCTAATGCTATAGAGGCTGAGAAGGGGGTGCTCCACCGCTACTTGCAAGGCTAAGAGTGCCGCCGGACCTGCCTAAGCGCATACCTTAACCTTGAGTCCCAGCTCCGGCAGTGCGTTACAGGCGAAGACGTCGTTTGTGATGTATGCAGCAGCGGTCTAGTCGAGACGGCCTTACCAGCGCCTCTTATTACAACGCCACACACTAAGAGTGCAATCATCCAGCAGAAGCGGCGCGCAGCTTACCTCGAGCTTAGCCGGTACTAAGAAGACCTGCTCGCTGTCCAAGGGACGTGCCTGCTCTGTCGAGGGCTTAACGAGCCATAGGACCACGCGTTTGCTACGTGCCACCGACGGTTCGACTTCTTCTAGGCCCGTGACCGGGTGAAGAGGCAATGCGAGGGAGCTTGGATTGCAGCATTCCAGGCGTGCTACTAGTGCTACAACCCGCAGTCCAAGGGTATATGCGCCCGCTGTGCTTGGCCGGAACCCCCGCTAGGCCCGAAGAAGGGAGTGGGGTTGCACGGACCACCGCGCGCGCCCCCCGCGAGGAAGCTAAGACGCGTCAGACCTGGGACGCGTCTTGGTATTCTCTATTTCAACTTGCTCGATGTGCTCGAATTCGAATCGGATACCTGCTAAAAGATAACATAAACCACCTTTAAGCCGTCTGTCTTTCCAACCCCCGCAAAAGCCTTAGAACCCTCCCTTTATTACAATAATATAATGGATCTTCTCTCTTTCAATCCAACTTACAACGTCTTGATCTGTACGAGCTGCAGATATGCGATTTACTCTACAGCGGTTGCTTCTCACTTGTACGACCATCACAAGGCTGCTATCCCACTCGGTAAAGTCCAGGAATACGCTCGTCTCTTCACCCCGGACTCTCTACTCCCTCCCCGAGAAGTGAAGCAGCTCCACGTGCCCACTCACACGCCCCCAATCCCCCACCTGCGGATCTACGACAACGCTTACTGCTGCAAGCTGTGCCCTCTTAATCAGCCGTACGTGATCCGAGACCAACGGCTTCTACTCAGCCATCTGAGGGAGGCCCATCAATGGAGTAAAAGTAAAGGCTTTGCAGACCGCCCATCCACATCGTCCCTTCCACTCAGCACTGCTGCTTACTCTCCTGTCGTTTGCCAGACCTTTCACACAAAGGGCTACACCCGCTACTTCCTCGTTAATAGCGGTAAGCCTATCGGCTCTGATCTGGCACCGGCACCGGCACCGGCTCAACTTGCGGACGCCCTGGAGAGACCACCCCTCGGCCTCCGAGAACAGGTAGAGCAGACTCTGGCTCAAAAGCTCCAAGCGCCTAAGCCCAACATCACCTCGCGCCATAAGACTAAGGTCTCTCCATAGCTTGACTTAACGCAATGGGAGCGGTACTTTCGGGGCCATAACTTGGGTCGTGTTGCACGGCTCCTTGATCTCCCATCGCCTCATCCCCTATTCGACCCCGATTAGCCAGATAATTACCTCGTTCTCGTACTTGAATCCTTTGACCGTCTTATCGAGCAAGCCCGCGAATCCCTCCGGACTGACCGGATCAACATCTTCGATCAGCAGCGTGTTAGTAGCTTCCTCACCCGCAAGACCACCAACTTCTCATTAGTGCACAAGCTTTAAGAAGGCACTTACACTACATACAAGAAAGTGTAGAAGCAACTGCTAAGCTTCGTTTATCGGCGCGTCTGGCGGAACCAAGGCCCTGAGCTCTCTTATCGTCTTACCGATGCTCAGGTGACAGCCCTCGATCGAGTGATGCAAGCTGCGGCCGAGCTTGCACAGGAACAGCAAAGCACTAGTCTAGTGGCAGCACAGCTCCGGCAAAATCTCAATTATGCTACGATCCAATTGTGCATCTCGTTATTAGACCATGCTTTATTCGACACAGTTTACGACAGCATTATCGTCGTTTTTATGGCGGTTCTTGGATTATCGGCGGATCAGAATGCCACATTTAGCGATTCTCTA